CCTTGGTCAGCCTTTAGCCCACTTCTAGCCCCACCTGGTGAGCTGACTAAGTCTTTAGGGAAGTCCTGGGTGGAGGAGGGTAGGAATAGAATGTTCTTCCTGCTTTGCCTTTTCAGTTAGAAACCCCTAAACAGGCAAAGAAGACCCCCAATCCTCAGAGCGCTTCATCAACTCTTCGGCTCCCTGTACCTCTCTGCATCCTCTCCCCCTCCCCACTCCATTCTTAACTGTGAAGGTTCAATGATGACCACACCAAAAGTTCTTCTTTCTCTAGCTGGGCTGAGGCATCCTAGCAGGGCACAGCAAGTGCAATGACCTAGACAAGTCACTCGCCCTACCTAGGCCATGGCTCCTTCAGGGCAAATGTCTAACAGAAGCTGGGAAGCACACTACAAAGAGAAAGGTGTCTGGACACTTCATGCCAGGCTCAGTCCCCCATAACCACCACACACAGGCTCCAGAGATATTTCCTCATTCCAGAGCCTACCTCACATCTTCCCTGGGCCTCTTGCCCCTCCCTGGAACATTCTTAAAGGCTCCAGTACTGGCCAGATTCTTCCTACCCCCACATTCCCAGGCCAACCTGAGAGGCCACTCAGTGTCAGGTGAAAGCAGCAGCATTCTCACCCCCCCACTCCCCCCCCTCTCTCTCTCTCTCTCTCTCTCTCTCTCTCTCTCTCTCTCTCTCTCTCTTTCTCTCTCTCTATCTCTCTCTTTCTCTCTGTCTCTCATCTCGGATTTCACAGCCTTGGAAGCCTCCCACCAAATTCTTGCCCCAAGGAGTTCAGTGTAGTGGTTCATCTGAACCCAGACATATACACACACAGGCACACACATGCATGCATCCACACAAGCACACACACACACACACACACACACACACACACACACACACCAAGTGTTCCTGCTGGATCTCACAGAGATCACTTTGCTAGATCCTGGCTTAGCCCCACAAACTCTTTCCTCCATTGCCCTCTGCCAACTCAGTGACAGCATTCTGTTATATACACACAGAGAGAGTGTACACACACACACACACACACACACACACACTCATTCACATTAAGCCAAGTGTAAACTTCACCTGTCCTCTAACTCTCTTGACTTCTGTATTAAGCACCCTTTGGAACCAACAGCCAGTGGACCCAGGTTCTTAGCCCTACCTCTGTCCACAGACCCCAACCTGGACACCTGGCCCCTGCCATCCTGGCCCATGGACATTGTGGTCCCTCCCACTGAGTAGGAGAAATATCCATAAGTATTATTCATAGCTCAGAAATGTAAAAATACACCTTATGATTCTTCTTTTTTTAATATTTTATGTGTGAGTGCTCTGCATGTCTGCCTACATGCCAGAAGAGGACATCAGATCCCATTACAGATGGTTGTGAACTACCATGTGGTTGTTGGGAATTGAACTCTGAATCTCTGGAATAGTAGCCAGTGCTCTTAACCTCTGAGTCATCTCTTCAGGCCCATATCTTCTGATTCTTAAAGGGAAAAAATTCTTTTTCCATTGTCTTGGAATGTGAGTGCTTCTAACCACACTAAAAGCCACTAGGCATTCTGTGTGGACCACTGGGCCAGGTGGCTCAGTAGCAGAATGCTTGGCCAGCATGTGGTCCTACACTCAATCTCTGATAGTGGCACACAAAAAATTCTGCACAGAGCATAGCACCTACAATGGAAGTAAGTGACAAAGGCTAAGGAGAATGCGACTGACAGCTAAGAAGAAAGTGACTGTAAATCACCATCCAGAAGAGTGTGACATACAGGAAGACTGTGGGCTGCTGTGAGCCTAGTGCTTACTGCACATATGTCTGGTTAAAACCTTTTGAACCATTTTGTCCCAGTGCTATAACCTGTGACATGGAGATGTCTGTCTTTTCCCCTCCACCTTTGGTGACAGGTTCTCACCACATAGTCCAAGCTGACCTCAGATTCTTGATGGTCCTGCTCCACTCTCCTAAGAACTAGGATTACAGGCATGTGTCACCAAACCCAGTTACTGTCCCCATCTAAAGAGAAGACATTGGAGGTGCAAATAATGTAAGTCCCTTGCCCAGCCTCCCACAGCTAGTATGTAGAAAAGCTAAGATTTAAGTCCCAGTAATTGGAACCACTGGATTACTTGTAAAAAATACTTGATGACAGTAGGGAAATTGGAGAAATGGCTCAGTGGTTAAGAGCACCTAGTTAGGTTGCCAGCACCCATGTCAGGTGGCTCACATCTACCTGTAATGCTAGCTCCAGGGGATCCAAGACTTTCAACTTCTGTGAGTACCTGAAGGCATATGCATACACACACACACACACACACACACACACACACACACACACACACACACCCCACAAATAAAGCAAAGTGTAAACTGTAAGAAGGAAAATGAGTTGCAGATATGAAGGATTGCTCAGCACCACTCATATTGGGGTGGGAGAAAGAATAGAAGCCGGAAGCACAGCCTCAGCACTGTGGGAGCTGACAATGAAGGATGGTGAGCTGAGGACCAGTCCAAGTTCCATAACAAGTCTCTGTCTCAGACATGAAATCCTTTTGTGCCTGTCAAGTCACCAAAGACTGAAGTTGAAGTTAGCAGCATTCCATGTGAATGGCTGTGGAGGTAACAGCAAACCTTGTCCTTTGCTGCTGGGGTTATTGATTGGCACTTCCTCTTGCAGGGAAAATTAGCAAAATATTTCAGAGTTAAAAAAGCATCTTCAGGGGCTGGAAAAATGGCTCAATGGTTAAGAGCACTAGGTGCTCTTGCCGAGGGCCTGAGTTCAGTTCCCAGCATCCACAGGGAGGCTCACACCATCTGTAACTCCAATTTCAGAGTATCTGACACCCTCTGTGGACTCCATGGGCACCAACTATGCACAATGTGCACACACATACGGATTGACATAACTGGGTTATGAGGGAATGAAGACAAATGCACAGACATGGAAAGGTTGGTATTGGCTGTACTTCACTCTCTGATGGAGAAGCTACAGCATGTTTATTATATACAATTGAGCAGGGAGGCTGGGTCACTGATACAGCTGAACAAGGAGGCAGGATTAGCTAAGCAGGTTCTGTTGGGGAGCACTTTCTGTTGGGGAATGGTCTCTGTTGGGGAGCACTCTCTATCGGGGAACATTCTCCGTTGGGAAGCACTATCTGTTGGGAAGCACTATCTGTTGGGGAGCACTCTGTTGGGAAACACTCTGCTGGGGAGCACTTTCTGTTGGGGAGCATTCTCTGTTGGGGAGTAGTCTTTAGGCCGAAATATTTGGGAGGCAGAAGAAGCTAGGAACATTTTCAGTACACATTACCTTTATCTATACTTAGACCACTTCCCTAGCATGACCTGAAGGAGGTTATGCCGATTCCTGTGGGTCTTAGACATTGAGGACCTAGACACAGCAGTGCCCATGACAATAGCCCACTTTCACTGGGGATTTCATTCACTTAGGGCTTCCTCTATGCCCCACACCTGATTATCCCATGTATGGGCTTTTTCTAGTCTCAGTCATCATGACATTCCACCCTAAGAGCACCCCTAAGCTATTTCAGGGGAAGCCACACAGCTCTCCAGCAGAAAGGGTGACAGTGATTTGACTCATACAGTCTCAGCCCAGCTATGTGTCCTTATAGCTGACCCCTGTGAGACTCCATTTCTTTATCTATAAAGTAGGACTCAACAGTGTCCATCCTGTGTGCTTAAGTAATGGGGAGCGAAGCATCTATGATGTGCTAGGAGCTCTGTAGCCCTCAAAAAGACCCAATAACAGAGACACCACCATGTGAGCTGATCAACGACACATCTGTCATGCTGGTGGACATTCCCAGCCTCTCTCATCTAAGGGCCCAGAGGTTGCCCTTAGATCTAGAACACCACCTTCCTTAATTTGTCCCTCATTTCACAAGCCTATGCTCTTTCTGGTTGCCAGAAGCCTGGCAGCTCCTATCTGCTTGATGAATGTTCTGGAACTAGACATACAGAACGTGGTTTCCCTACTTCTTGTTGAGGTCCACTTGATATACAATGAACAAATGGCAAGCAAGAGATGGGAGCTCTTCAGCAAACTGCAAGAGTTTGCAGGCCCGCCAGGAAGCTATCGGTGTTAGAGATGGGCTGTAGCAATGAAGTCAACTTCAAGTTCTATCCCCCTGGGTGCAGGGTGACCCAACTTCAAGAGGTTGTTGTTCCAGGTCTCAGAGAACCAGAAGCGGCAGTTCTAGTGCTTCCTGGTGGTGGCCAGTGAGAACCTGCACCAGGTGGCTGATGGCTCCGTGGACATGGTGGTCTGTGCTCAGTGTATTACCAGGCACAGTCCACAGTAAGGGTTACCTTAGTCACATTCCCCATTTATTTATTCATTATTTAACCAGCAGGCATTTGGAGAATGCTGAGCTGTGTAGCAGTCTGATGCTTCCAGCCTCAAACTGGATCATTTGCACAGCGATGTGTAGCCCACAAAAATGGCAGAGCTACGAGGCTGGGGAGATGACTGGGCTGCCAAAGTGCTTGTATAAGCACGAGGGCCTTGCTTTAGATTCCCAGCACCCAGATGAAAGCCACCTGTAGTGTCAGTGCTGTGGAAGCAAAGACAGGGTGAGTCTGGTGGTCAGTGAGCTCTGGGTTCAATGAGAGACCCTGTTTCAAAAACTAAGGTAGATGCAGGGCAGTGATGGCACATACCTTTAATCCCAGCACTCAGGAAGCAGAGGCAGATGGATACCTGTGAGTTCAAGGCCAGTCTGGTCTACAGAGAGAGTTCCAGGAAAGCCAAAGCTAGGCAGTTCTCTTGTCTCAAAAAAAAATTAAAAATAAGGTGGACAGTGACCGAGGAAAACGCCCAACAGTGACCTCAGCCACTTCAACTTCTGAATCAGTAGTTTCTCCCAACATTGATTCTCTAGTGTGGGTCACAATCCCTTTTGGAGGTCGTACAACCCTTTCACAGGGGTCACATGTCAGATATCCTGCCCATCCGATAGTTACATTACAATTCATTACAGTAGCAAAATCACAGTTGTGAAGTAGCAACAAAAATAATACTATGGTTGGGGGTCACCACAACAGGAAGAACTGAATTAAAGGGTCTCAGCATCAGGAAGGGTGAGAACCACTGCTTTAGTG